TAATCAACATACAGAAATAAAACTATTTATAAGCGAAATCTCTGTATACTTGATGCCAAGGAAATCCTAAAGATCGCCCAGCTCGTCCACGTCGGATAGATTACCGTAATGGAAGAATTCGGATACAAACTAATATATTAGCTAATAGACGGCGGATTCAAGCCATACATATCTATGCATATACGGATTGCAACCAATCAATTCATCACTCAGTCCAATCTTTTGCACCGCAAGAAGTATAGACAGAGATAAAACCTTGACGTCCATGAACGTGCAGTAGATGCAGTCTTATTACTCATCTATTCATTCATTCATTTCTTGCTTGCGCGCTTTCTTGCACGCTTTCTTGCTCGCATGCTTGCTTGCCTCCACCAGCACTACCACCAGCACCGCCACCACAGCACAGCATAGCATCTCCCAGCAAAAGACTTAGGCATCTAGGTATCCACAGTCCTCTCGCGGCTAAGAGACCCATCCATCCATCTATCAACATCCACTCCAAGCTCGGGTATTGTATCCATCAACTATCCATAAAGTCCTCCATCTCCCCCTCCCTCAGCCGCCATCTCCGCTAAGTAAGGTAAAAACAACCGAATTTTGAACCCCCTTTGACGTGCTCAAGATTGGAAATAAAACGCCACCCAATGCCAATGCCATGTCAATGCCAAGCCAAACAAGCACCCATGCATGCACGCTCAAAAAAGAGACAAAGTCCAAGCCAGAACCTCAAGGAGGGAAAGGAAGAACGAAGGAGCTAATGTACAGACAAAGGCTAGCTAGCTCATCGCTTTCGTGAGATTCACTTGTGACGTTGTAGAAGCTGTATCTATGTAGCAACTACAGCAACTGTGCTGCCGCCACCATTGTTCAATAAAGGCTTCGTCATCTCTTTGTCCCCCTCGGTGGCGGGCTTGGAGCTGGAGGAGCGCTCGGTTAGTCCCGGCCGCCATTTGGAAAAGAGCTTGACAACCGTTGGTCTCGCGTCCTCGTCTGCATGATTTTGTCAATTAAATCTTTGAACAGTCACAAGAAGCTAGAAGGTAGAAAGGGGAGCTTACAGGTATCCCAAACATCCTCCACAGCATTCAATACCAGCTCTCTGACGGGCGGCCGGTACGCAACCAGGAACAGAAGGCTCTGCAGCGCCATGTTGACCGTCGCGGGATCCCGGCACAGCTTCTTCACCCGGTCCAAAACCTCCATGCTCAAGCCTGGGATATCACTGAGGAACTTAATGACCAAACCTCTATCCTGGCCGTCTAGATACGGCACCATGCCATCCAAGATCTTGAAAACCCACTTGTCGTAGTGCAGGATGGTGGCGTCTTGGTCGGCTTCTTTCATCTGCATCTTGTCGTTGTACCACTCCTCGCACAGCCAGGCCAAGGCGATGTCGATGCGTTTCCGGAAGTCCTCGAGGACGTAGCCGCACAAGAACTCACGGATATTATCGGCGAGGGAGACGTAGGATGGGACGTCCGATTCGGCTTTCAAGGAATCGAGCGCTTCGAGCCCGGCTGGAGCACGTGTAGCGATACGGGTCAGGATGGTGATCCATGCGTCTCGATCATATGCGCTAGCTGCAAGCCTGTTGATGCCGGCCTTGCTTTTCTTGCCTCTCTCTTCCAGTCCTCTCATCACGTCGAATACCTTGTAGACTGTCGACAGACCGACTTCGCTGGCCTGTGCTGTTGTTAAGGGTGGTGGTGCAGGGAGGGTAAAGCGGCCAGAGAAAGAGGGTATTGCGACCTTCGGCTCTTCCGGAGGTGCACCGTCGAGTTTGTTTAAAATTTGCTCTGTGTCTTCTGCTACATCAAAGTCTGGCTCGTAGTCATCTTCCTCTTCCACATCCAGATGAGCTGCGGCAGTGATTACGGCAGGCTTGGTGGCTTCCAAAATCTTGTACCTTTGACGGACACCCTAAAGTTTCGTTAGTCTCCAAATTCATATCTCAGAGATAATGCGTACCTCGACTGCTTGATTCAGCGTACTGGCATCAATCCTCTGCAATATCGTAATGCCAATCCTAAGGACCAGATCATCTGGCAGCTGTGAGACATCGAAAGCCTTCAAAGCCTCATCCGTAGTAACAGTGAAGAGTTCCGCAATAGTATGGGGCCCAGGTGCCAGAGGAGGAACATGAAATTTCGGGGCCAGGACCGGGGCAGGAGCTCCCAGCTTTTGTCGCTTCGCAGCATCTGAGCCATCTGTAGGCTCGGGGGCACCTCGCTTCCGTGACGACTCATCAAAGATATCTGCCCTGGCTCTCATCATCCGTTCAATATACTGGTGCATCTTCCCAGCAAGTGGATGTTGTTGATCACTAAAAACTGTCAGCACTTCCCCAGTCAGTTAGATGGGAACTGGCATAGGTACCGCTTGAGGACATGGAGAAGCAACAATCTAGTGGTCTTTTCCATGGATTTGACCATAACACGGAGTTTGGGGTTCATGGGGGAATTGGCTTGCTTCAAAGGGTTGAAACTCAGGATGATGTTCAAGATCTTATTGGAAGTTTGGGGACGGGAACGAATCAGGATGGAAAGGGAGTTTAGGGTGGCATCGACGAGGATCGCATCGCTTTTCATGTCAGTTAGTTCGCATATGGGATGGGAGAGTACAGACCTGCTGTTTTCATGGAACACTGCTAGCATCCTATCTAACAGACCCGATGCCTCCGCTTCAAGATTCTTGGGTGGGATAAGAGGGTGATTTGACGGTACCATAGACAGAGAGACTTCGAGTGGTGTGCCGCGCTGGGAGGAAGTAAGTATTGTACGACCGCTGAAAAACGGATTATCCATACCCTCGGGTCAGCATCTGGGCCTTTGGTCTGTACCAGGACTACTTTCTGGGCGAATTTGATGCAACAGATACGCACACCAGGAATAGCCGTGTCCCACATCCGCAGAATTCTCGATTTAATCGCAGTCATCCGCTCCCATGTTGTGCTATCATACGAGTTGTTGATACTATCCAGGCATGCAAGTTAGACCCGACCCTTTGCTAAGACAGATGTGCCCGCCACGCGACCATCATCATAAACAACCAAGCGCAGAGAGCCATGGATCAATCCGGGTTATATAGACAGCGAGGATAGGTAAAAACGGGCAGTTGTTCAAGACACATGCATAGGATTTCCAAGGGGGGAGGAATGGCTACATACATCCATCTCATCACCAGCGGGTACACGCTTGCCGCCGTCTGCACCACGCTCCTCACCACGGCAGGATCCTCCTGCGGATTCTCAATCATGTTCTTCAATGTCTCCAGCACCAGCAAGCTCAGGGTCTCCTTCTGCTGCGATGGCAGGGAGGGGGCCGCGAACGTCTCGGCCAGGAAATCGGCAACCCATCTTCGCAGCTCGACGCGCGCGCCGGGTGCAGCGATGGGCAGAATGCCTTGGATGATCTGCGGGTAGTGACTAGCATCGCTCAGGACGAGTTTGCGCGCATCGCCGAGTTGCTTGATCTGGAGCTCGACCGAGGAGTCCATGGTGAAGAGGAGCAGGGCAGGCGCTTTCAACAGCTAGGACGGAGCTCTAAGAGGAAATTCAGGCCTGCATCTACGGGTGTGACAATCCAATGTGGCATCAAGTAGGTACGGTATGTGTCGTTGTCGCCGAAGATGCGGGCGAGGATGAAGGGAGAAATCGTGATGGAGTTGGGTTGAGTTCTTCTATGTATTGGTAGGTGGTAACTATCTTTGTGCTTCCTTCATAGCTGACTTGACGCGCCTTCTGGAAAATAGACGGGCCGAGACCCGGGGATGGGCTGGCCCGAACACTAGGCAGGCAACCAAGTAGGTACAGTGGAGGCGGGAACTTTCAAAGTCCATACCTATCAAAACATCCAACGACTTCTCAAGAGACCTCCCTTCGGATCTCGACCCAGCCGTCAATATGGGACTGTGCGTACCCAATTATCTTCCAATTTAATATGATATATCCATTCACCGACCCACCTACCTCCCCAACTTATCAATACCGCGCTGACCATCCCCTCCCCCACGGCGCAGTCTCCCCAAATCCTCCTACTATGACCAGCACTACAAGCAATCCGCCGCCTTGATCCGCGCCCGCCGCCCCTACCTGTTCAAGAACGCAGCGACGGGAGTGAGCCTGTTTGGTTTCTGCGTGGGTGTCTGTGAGAGCTGCCCAATTCTTTCCTCTCACTGTTCCTCCTACTCATACTCATAACTTCTTGAAATCCAATTCGGATATCTGCTGATTCTGCTTTGCTTCTTCAGACTGGTTCACCATCCGCGCCGTCTCGCAGGACGACTTCGAAGACGTCAAGGTTCCCGACGCGGCAACGCCGGTCCAGGCTCCGACGGCTGGCGCGAGTACGATGGCTAGGCAGTTCGACACAGCAGCAGCTGGCAAATAGAATAAGGATAAGGGCGTATGCAGGAATAGTGAAAGCAGGCTTCGAATTGGATTAGGCGAAGGCAGGAAAGGGTCCCCTCTGTGTATGTGTATGATCGATCGATTAGCCTGGGAAGAGCCGTGTACATGAGGATTTCGCAAATAGGGATGATCGCACGGCACGGCATGGCATGACAGGGACGGCGTTTTGGTAACAATGGGATTCTTTAGTATTCGTTAAGATATTTGACCTCATGCCAGAAATTCTCTTGGGGCGTCGGTCCGGTTCATTGTGAAAATCTCATAGATAGTTGCAGCCTGCTTCACCACACACATCGATCCCCGGGTAATAATATGCTACGCCAATAACTGCCACCCTGCCTGCCATGGGCCCATGTGTCTGTCTAGCTATGTATCTATACAAGACATGGTCATCAATCCAAAATTCCAACCAAGCATCGTCCGTGCTAAAGGTGCTAAAAGTAATAACCTCGAACGCCTGCCTGCGCCACATGTGCCCTGTCTGTCATTGGTTGTTGTATGAAAAAGGAGACTCAGAACCGACCCATCATCGCAGCAGCTTGCTCTCGCCTCACCTCGTGCGCGAATTCGCGCGGTACTTCAGAGGGACCCGCAGGAGGCGAGTGATGATGTACAATGTTGCTCTTTGGGAAATCTTGGCTATTCGACGGTGGGTGCCGGTTTTGCTGCGGGGATAGTGATGGTTGTCGACTTCCCAACGGGGAGGGTACGATGGTATGTGAGTGCGAATTGACGAACGGGTTATGAGGCGAAATACGACCCGTCATTGTGGAACTAGAATTGTTCGAGAAGGTACCAGAGATTGGCTGCACTCCAGGTTGGTGGGAGTGTCTTCGAGCTGGCGCTTGTGTCGATGTTCTGGGCGTTTGCTGAGCCGGTGTCTGCCTCTGGAGCAGATGCGCATGGGACGGATGTTGAGGATTAGCCCACGGCGTCTGTTCAATGAACTGTTCTTCAGCCGGCTTGAATCGAGACCTTGAACCAGCGTTGCGGAGCGCTTGCAATTCCTGCATAGGTACCGGCATTGGTTGAGCTTGTCTCGTTCGCTAAGCACGGTCAGCTTCTTGTTGTTCGCTCGGAGACTGTTCTTAGAAGACTGACCCCCATTTTCTCGAAATCATCTTCCAGCTCTGCGGCTGTGGCCGATGCCATTGTCGGAGCTGCAGGGAATCCAACATATTTCGCAACTCCACTAAGAATGGACACCTCGGTGTTATAAGCCATCTGGTTCTGAACTTGCTGTGCTTTCGTTGCCGGGTACTTTAGAGTGTAGTCCGGAATGCTACCAGCATGATTCCTCCTGTCGTGTTGGATTTCGTACCATTGCTTTCCGAGTTGCTCAAGCTTCCTCTCCCGGATCTCGCGAACTTCTTGTTGATACTGAACAAGAATCTGACTTCTTTTCGCCACTGAATGGTTCCTGAGATTCTGCATCTCAAGCGTGCGCAGGTTGTCCGCTATTCGAAGCTTATCGTCTCTCCGTGCATCGATACATTGTATCATTGCGAGGTAGTCTGGATGTGTAATTTTGTTCTGTCGCAGCATCGCTTCTTCTCGATTCAGTTGTTCTAATCGTTCATCGTAGACTCTGCTAGCGAGTTAGACGTGTTATTTCTCGAAGTTTGAAAACATTACCTGTCTCGGAAGGCAGTAAATTGCCGTTCGATGGCACTCAACTGTTCTAATGCAATTCGCTTTTTCTCGACTACTACTTGTCAACAGAGCCCAGGCAGCAATGCAAAAGCTCGGACTTACGTTCTTCCTCATTCTTGTTGGCAGCCTCGACTTCGTCATAACCCTCGTTTTCTGCCGAGCCTTCTTCGCCATTCCTGACTTCGTGGTCTCCATTGACAGCAACGTCGGCGTCCGGATCCTCACGACCACCGATGCCATTCTCCACGACCTTTTTCTTCTTTCGCCCTCGTCTCTTTGGCGATGTTGGCGCATCGATGATCTCTGGAGCAAGCTCCTCAGGCACGACAGCATCTCCAGCTTCCTCGGGACCTTCATTCTCTTGCGTTGCCTCACCCTCCTCACCAGACACATTCCCGCTGATTGGATTGGATAATTGTTCCTCGTAGTCAGGGTTAGCCTCGTCCTCGACCGCATAATCACGCCCGGGTGTCATCACTGAGCCAGTACGCTTGCGCAAAGGTTCCTCAAGGTCGTCGTCCAACGAAGTTCCAGCCATTATGGACCGTTTGCGCTTCCTTGTATCGGCATCTGAAGCAGACAGTAATGTCTTGACGATATCGCCCGAAGGTTCGTCAAGATATGTAGCAGCAGTTGTAGGTTCGAGTTCAGCTTCGCCCTGCTCAGAGCTCTTCGGTGAGTCTGGGGATTCGTTATGAGAAATATCGTCAGAAGATAACGGATCGTCGTCCTCATCGTCCTCTTCCATATCCATATCGGTAGGTGAGATTTGTTTGTTGAGCTTGCTTGGACTGTGTTTGTAGTTTTGGCTGGACATGACGAGGTCCTGTTGCTGTCGGAATTTAATGGGAGATTCTTCGAGACGCTCCGTCTCTGCTTCAGAATCGTTTTCGGAGGGGTTGCTGAGGTCCTCCGAGCCCTCTAAGTCCTCATCCTCCTCCTCGTCGATATTATTGTCCTCAATTTCGGAGAGACTGCTGGAGCCGTCTTCGCGATCGTCATCACCGACCTCAACTTCATTCAGAGCCTCCTCTGCTTGAGCTGCTTGCAGCAGGGCGTCGACCCCTAAGTCCATCGAAACACTCATTATACGCTTGTTATGCCCGTACCGAATAAGTCTTAGGTCTGCAGTAGTTACATGCCCTCTGTTCGACCAGCAAGCAGGACAAGATAGTCGGGGCGAGGGTTGTGCGCGCAAGTGTTTCCCGAGACTGGGGTTGTGAAGCAGAATTTGTCGGATACCGAGTAGCGGCGAGTAGCGGAACACACGAGGCAGCTGGCGCCAGGAAGTCCGAGCAGAATATGAGGAGGTGGATCGCGGTGGAAAAATGGTGGTGTAGGTAGTGCGTGCATGAGGGTGAAGCTCAACAGACCCTGGTCATTAAGGGCTCGGCGAATCGTCGGGCCGATCAAGCTACTACTAGCGCGTCTAGGTAGAAATTCTTGAATAGTTTAAAGTGCATAACTCATTCAGTATTGGGGAACAATTATTGAATATTGAAAACTACACTAAACATGGGAAAACGAAGTCGCAAAGATGGGGAGGCCTCTGAAAATATTGAGAAAAAGAAGGAGGAGAAGTCCAGCAGGAAAAGCAAGAGCAACAAGTCTCTGCCTGTAGAGGCAGTCCTCGACCCGAGCTTGGCCTTGCTGTTTGCGACAAGTGTAAGTCACCTAAACGCACAGTGGCATTCGGTATCTGAATACTGATCTCTCCAAAAGGCTGGTCCAGTCAAACCTCCTCCAAAATCCCGTTACCAGGAGCCTCCGCCGCCGAGGAAGCAAAAAATAGTCGAAGAGGAATTAGAGCGCGAGGAGGGGGAAGCCGAATCCGAAGGCGACGACGAGGACCTGAGCAGCGTGGATGGGGACCTCGACGATGTAGACGTTGGAGATTTTTCCGAGTCCGAAAATGAAGCACAAGTCGGAGTTGAGCTAGAAAAAATCATCGAGGCATCCATTGCCAAACCCGAGCGCAAGCGAAAGAGAAAGGCCGAAGAAGAAGATCTCGAGGGGAAATATATGCAGAAGCTTGCCAAAGAGGAAGAAAAAGAAGAGGCTGAGCGTAAGGCAGAGAGACGGTTGAAGCGCCAAAGAACGATGGCCACGCAAGATCAGGACATGTCTGAAGAATCCGAGGATCTCGACTCGGACTCTGAAAAAGACGATGGGAGCGATTCTGATTCGGTTGAGAAGAGTGCAAGAACTGCGCCAGCAGATGTTCCGCTCCACGAGTCTCTGGCCCCGAGTAAGGATGCCGTAGAACTTGAGAAGGCCTCTCGGACAGTGTTCCTTGCCAATGTATCTACGCTCGCGATGACCGATAAAGCCGCTAAAAAGACTTTACTCGGACACATGGGCTCGTTCCTCTCTTCGCTTGCCCCTTTGGCAGGCAAGCCAGAGCATAAAATCGAGTCTCTCCGCTTCCGATCTACAGCCTACGCCGGTACTGCTCTCCCCAAAAAGGCCGCTTTCGCCAAGAAGGACCTCATGGCTGCGACAACCAAGAGTACCAATGCTTATGTAGTCTATTCTACGGCTTTTGCGGCTAGAGAAGCAGTCAAGAAATTGAATGGCACTATGGTCTTAGATCGTCATCTACGTGTCGATGGTGTGGCTCACCCGGCCAAAACAGATCACCGTCGCTGTGTCTTCGTAGGCAACCTCGGATTCGTTGACGACGAGAGCATGATGGAACAGGGTGGAGACAACGAGCGCAAACGTTCCAAGATTCCTTCGGATATCGAAGAGGGCTTGTGGAGACAGTTTGGTAAGGTAGGGACAGTAGAAAGTGTTCGTGTCGTACGTGACGAGAAGACCAGAGTCGGAAAGGGATTCGCTTATGTTCAATTTGAGGTCGGTACGTCCTATCCCGCATTTGATTAAATACTAAAATTTCCAGGACGCAAATTCCGTAGAAGCAGCACTTCTTTTCAACGAAAAGAAGTACCCTCCTATGTTACCCCGTGTCTTGCGTGTGGTTCGCGCTAAAGCCGTCCGCAAAACTGCTCTCGCCTCTGCCGCATCCCGCCCAGATCCTCGCAAAGGCAAAGTCAGCTCCAAACCCCGTATCTACCAACCGAAGACAAGCGCAGAATTGTCATCTCTGAAGGGCCGAGCAGGCAAGCTTCTAGGAAAAGCCGGAGCTGCTCAGTTCAGAAATGCAGCAAGTGGCGCCAACGGCACGGTGATGGGAAAGAAGGGAGATGGGAAGGCAGTAGTAGGTATATCGAAGACGCCCGAGAGTATCGTATTTGAAGGGTACAGGGCCAGCTCGAAGAATGGAAAACCGAAGGGTCTGAAGATGGGTGGGGAGAAGAAGGGCAAGGGAAAGCCGAAGGGTCGAAGTAGCGCTCGGGCCAGTTCCTGGAGAAAGTCTGGTGGTAAGAAGGTATCTTGAGCTGGGACTGTATTGTTAGAGTCTGCTCACAATTTGAACGAAATAGACTTCACAGGGACTTAGGAAATTTTATATGGAACGGGGTGAAGATGCAGTTGGCAAGTCCTCGCCCTTTCGCAGCTTACAAATTATTTAGGAACGGTGAGGCTTCTGCGATTGTACCACTGGCATCTACTGCTTGCCGTGGCTACCGGTACTGGCCCGTATCTCACCACTGCGAAGGAGAGCTTTCGATTTATACGACTATTACTTAATCATCATGCCGATCGAACTTTGATTCACAAGTAAGAGAACGATGCAACAATAGGTATCGTACCGGCGGGCGCAAGTCAGATGTTTCCTGCTTGCTGTAATCGAGGAGAAAGAATTCAGTTCGATGACAAGGCAGTAGTCGTAGTATTGCTGCGAGAAGAAGCTGGCCACGATTTCTCCCACCGGCTTCGTGCGTACACTTTTCTGTGTAACCCAACGTAAACGTCGGATGTGATCATGGGGATGACCAGTTTTTCTTTTCGAGATAAGAAATGGTCTCGAAGATGTTGGTTGCTGTCGGACTGGACTGGAGATTTGATTTGCTCCGAGACCCGAGACGCAAGTACCGCCGTGTAAGTACGTACATATGTGTACACCATTGTCAACCACACCACCGCGATACATTCCGATCCGGGCATCTTGTCAGCACAGCACTGCACAGCAACCCTCAAGGTCTACTTGCTTTCCCTTATACCCATTCTGCCTCGCCGTAAGACGGAGCCTGGTGACTCAGGATACGAGGACCGTTCGGGTCCGGAAATAGGACATAGTCATTCCAGAGCACATGTTCATTACTATTTGGCCAGATTATATCGCTCTGGGGATTGGAATTTGGAATACAGCTAGATTATCAAGTCTGATGACCTACGTATGCCTGTACCGTCGTGGGCTGCGGTTATCTTTATCTTCATTTTTTCTCTTTTTGTCTTCCATTTTGGGTCTGTTTTTTCCTAGCCGAACTCTCTTTTTGTCAAGTTCTGGTGTTCAGTCTCACCTCTAGTCTTCTTCCCCTTTTCCAGCCGAGCTTCTACGTAGCTATCATCGTTAGTCATGAGTCGTATTTCTTGCTCTATTCAAGCTTTGCTTTAGTTAGTTGAGTACGTCTTGGAGAGTCAAAATTTTGTTGCTTGATTGGCAGCTGGGCAGGCTCGGCTAGACTTCAACGGTTGATTATGCGGAGATTATGCAGTACTTACTTACCAGTGTTACTTACTTACAAGTCACCAGTATCCTAATTCCCTGGCGCTATCAAACACCTGCAGCATGCACGTATGATGCACGTCAATAGTAACGCTGACTGCCGCTGTCGCATGGAAATCACCGTTTGAGCGGCATGGAAAGGACAGCATGGAAGGACGCCCTGGTTCAGCCACACAACACACATGGCTGATTCGCGAATGCACATACATTTCATCGGAACTTGACGACCAGTGTCTGCCATGCCCGCGTGATGAGGATGGATACGAAAGGTGCAGCGTACTGGCCTGCATACCGGCATCGCACCCTGGGGATAATCAGCCCTTACCATTATTTGGAACAAGTCTCAAGCCTCATTTTCACCTCCACGGCTTGTTTCCTTTTCAGTCCCCATGTTATAAAGATTTCTCTGGCCAGAACTATTCGTTTTCTTACAATACACCTCTCTTGGGTCTGCATCTTTTAGCTGCAAAAAATTCTGCGCAGGCACGCTCGTTTGTAACTTACATTAGCTCTATCAACAAACATTTTGGGACATGGGAAACTTTACATATGCTGTCAAAGCAGCTGTGGTGGCTTCGTTGGTATGCCATACAGCCCTAAAGCTGGCATAGCTCGCTGACATCTACAGCTCACGTCGTCTTTCTCGGCCGTTGTTGTGGAGAAAAGACAGTCCGTTGTGACAGGATGGACATATTATGGATGTCAGACAGAGGGCACCAACGTGCGGGCTCTTGCTGCGAAGTCGACAGCATATGATACTATGACCCTCGAGTCTTGTGCCAGCGATTGTGCAGGATATACCTACTTTGGCACGGAGTACGGCCGAGAGTGTAGGAACTGCTTTCTTCTCGCGGCTGTGCAGGCTGACACGAGAAAGGCTACTGTGGCAACGCATTCGGAACTGGGTCTGCTATTGCACCTGCAGCCGATTGCAGCTTTAGCTGCAGAGGAAACTCTGCTGAGAAGTGTGGAGCTGGTAACCGGCTGTCTGTTTACACGGAAAGGTTGACAGGAGCGGTGTCGTCGGCCAATGCAGGCAGTACGACAAAAGTAGCAGCGACTACAGCAACTGTCGCGTCAACTCAGCCAGCTGGTCCGGGTCCCCAAAAGAGTGACATACCAGCTGGGTGGGCGTATTCAGGATGTCTACAGCATGTCCAGTTCCCTCCTTGACAAGAATCGATACTAATGGATCAGGGACAACATTCCCGCGAAAGAAAATGGGAATATTAAATTGTCAGTTCTCCCGTATAAAGTCTGGGATACGCAGACGAACGATCCCGTCTCATGTATCACTCGCTGTCAGCAATTTGGGTTCAATGCGGCAGGACTTGAGTACTCTTCACAATGCTGTAGGTAAACGCACGTTCGAATCTGGTCCGGGATAGGTACATACGCTGACTGACACTCGCAGTTTGTGGAGATATCCAGAACCTCCAGGTCGCATCTGCGCCAACCACCTCGACAAATCCCAATGATGTTCAGCAGTACACGTACTCTGCCCTTCCTCTCAAGTACGCCGACTCTGTGTGCAACGCGCTCTGTTCGGGAAACAAGAACTACTATTGCGGATCTGGAAACAGACTCACTTACTACACTTGGACGACCTCTCCTGTCAATTGGGCAATCCCAACTGGAAATGCGGGTGGCAAATACTCGCTCTTGATCGGAGGCGTTGTTGTGCCCCTGATAGTATCCCAAGCGATTACTGGCAAAGTTACGTTTTTGGAGAAAGCTGGAACTGGAGAGCCCAATGGCACTGGTGCCTATGAACGTATGTAACGAGCGGTCTCGGTATCATTTTTTATTTCAAGGCATCTTTGCTCTAGTCTCGAAACCTTCTTAGTCGGCCAAACACTGACTCCCCGGTGTCGCACAGTTGATCTTACTCAAATTAACACCTTTAGCATTGCATGGAGACAAATGACTGGTCTGAAAACAGATGTCTTCTGCGCTGCAGGTCTCACTCTTCCCGACAAGGCCGGAAGGCAAATCACCGTTGGTGGCTGGGCTGGTACGTCTAACTATGGTATCCGCTTGTATTGGCCAGATGGATCCGCTGGAGTCAAGGGAACGCAGCAATGGACTGAGGACCCCAATAACCTCCAATTGCTGGTCCCGCGCTGGTACCCTTCGGCAATGATCATGGCGAATGGCTCGATCCTGGTCGTCGGTGGTGAGATTGGTCAGAACGCAGATCAGCAGCCAAACCTGGAGATCCTCCCAAGAACAGGTGGAGGAACTGTCTACCTGGACTTCTTGCAACGAACGCATCCATTCAACCTCTACCCGTTCATCATGGTCGTCCCATCAGGCATATTTATCCTCTATTATAACGAGGCGAGGATCCTAGACGAGAAGACGTTTGCTACGGTCAAGATTCTGCCGAACCTGCCAGGTGCTGTCAATGATGCCACTGGAGGCCGGACATATCAGCTACAGGGCTCAATGGTCGCGTTGCCGCAGTATGCGCCTTTCACGGCTCCCGTAGGCGTCCTGGCTTGTGGCGGGTCCACTTCCAACGGGGGATATGCGATTGATAACTGTGTTTCTACGCAACCTGAAGCTGCAAACCCAGCTTGGACGATTGAGCGGATGGTGGGGTCTCTTTTGCTTTCCTCGCTTCTCAGATGTCGCTAATACGTGCCAGCCTTCCCGGAGAGTCCTGCCTTGCATGGCCGGTCTCCCAGATGGAACCTACCTCATTACAGGCGGCGGCCAGCACGGTGTTGCCGGCTTCGGACTTGGCGGCGCTCCCAATCTCAATGCCGTTTTGTACGACCCGTCCAAGCCAGTCAACCAGCGCATGTCAGTCATGGCCAACACCACCGTCGCCCGCCTCTACCACTCCGAGGCCATCACTCTCCTCGACGGCCGCGTCATGATCTCCGGCTCGGATCCCACCGGCGACTACAACAGTCCCCAGGGCAGCTGGCCCGAAGAGTACCGCGTCGAGGTCTTCACGCCCCCGTACCTGCTTTCCGGCCTCGCTCGCCCGACCTTCACCATCGCCACCAAGGACTGGCAATACGGCGCGGCCTACGCATTCGCGCTCACTTCCGGTTCCACGGCGAACCTGAAAGTGTCGCTTCTCGGCTCCGTGTCGTCGACCCACGGCAACAGCATGGGCCAGCGCACCTTGTTCCCCGCTGTCTCGTGCTCGGGGGCTACTTGCTCGATTACAGCGCCTCCAAATTCACACGTCTGCCCGCCCGGTTGGTATATGCTGTTCGTGCTCGATGGGCCGACGCCTTCCGTGGGCCAGTTTGTGAGAATCGGAGGGGACCCTGCGTCTCTTGGGAACTGGCCCAAGTTGGCCGGGTTTAATTTGCCGGGCGTGTAGACCAGAAGGAGGAAGGGGGCGAGCAGAAAAATGGTTATATCCTTATTTCATTATGTCGTTACGTCTAAGTATGTGAGGTTGGTTAGCGATGTTTATGGTTAGCGAGGTGCATAGTTAGCTATATTCCCCTGCTTCAAGCATCAAACTCATCTCGGTTTAGAATATAAATAACTACCCAATTGCGCTTAAATCTTTTGGGGAACAGCTATTCTGAATTTCTGGCCCTGGAAATTGCCTCCTCGAAACTAATGTGCGTGGTTTCCTAATTAGGAAACTGCCTATTCGGCCAGAGAACTTTTTTGAATTGCTGTTGTTGCGCGAAGCCTTCATCTCGAGTCTAAAGCCCCGAAATTGCTCATTGAATCCGTTCATATGTTGCTGCCCTGTCTCTTGATCATTTCCTCGAACTCATCCTTCGCAGCCTTCATCAAGCTCGGGTCCGTTAGCGCCTCCAAGCCTGTAACAGCGAGGGCCTTTCCAGCTCTCAGAGCAGCATTGTGAGCCTCCATCGTCCTCGCAGACTTCGCGAATCCAGGATTATGAGGCCCCTCCACACTTTCAATCTTGAAGCCCAAGCTCACACTCGGCATCGCATAGCTGATGTTCCCTTGATCTGTGCTCGCTTGCGTGGCGCCTCGGACGATATCTATATTCGGGACAGGAATATCGCTACCGAGAGCATTCATCGCAGCTCTCGAGATCTTGCAGAGAGCCTGGTTGGGGACATGGTCATCATAGCTCATGACTTCAGTTATCTTCAACGTCGCTCCGGTTGCCTCGGCTCCAGCCTTGAAGCACTTGTTGACATTCGTCCTCAGCTCTGCCAGTCTTTGCTTGCTCAGCGCTCTTAAAACGAACACGCCGGCGGCATATGCATGAATAATGTTGGGAGTAGCGCCACCATCAGTGATATGTCCCTGAATGATATCCCCTGGCATCGTCTGCTGTCTCAGCACACTCAGCGCATTGTACGCCGTAATCAGTGCATCAAGAGCATTGATTCCTTCCCAAGGAGCGGCAGCCGCATGTGCTTCTTTGCCAAAATACTCGACCTTGAAGCTCACGTATGCATTTGTCCGCATCAGTGCACAGTCGGCTACTTTTCCTGGATGGGAGATGAGGCTTATGTCGACTTTGTGGTCGGCGTAGGCTCCTGCATCTAGCAGTTTGATCTTCCCACCACCTCCTTCCTCGGCTGGGGTTCCATACAAAATGATCTTGCCGGGAAGGGAGAACTTGGTCATTGCTTCGCCGGCTGAGAGGGCCCCCGCCAAAGCGCAGGTGGCGATGAGGTTGTGGCCGCATGAGTGGCCGATCCCTTCGAGCGCATCTGATCTCTCAAGTCAGATTTAGCCAAAAAGAAAAAAAGAAAAAAAAATCCACAGCAAGAGAGAGAACTCAACCGTATTCGGCATTGAAGCTAATCACCGGCCCTTTCTTCCCACTATCATACTCCGCGATAAAAGCTGTTGGGATGCCGTATGCAGAGGGCACTACCTTCCACCCTTTCCTCGTCTTCATGAATGTCGTCAGGGTTTCGTGAGCGAAAAATTCTTCATATTTCAGCTCTGGGTTGTCGTGGATCCTGACATTGACAGGTCGCAGAGCCTCGCTGATTGAATCGATATACTTGGAGACAAAGTCAAGATATTTTAAGGGTTCTTCCTGGGCTGACTTGGTGAGTAATTGCATTCATCCGGAGACTACACTCAACTGACCGATATCAATACTACCAAATGCTTGCGATGAATGTTGGTCTTGGCTAGTGGAAATTTCGACGTCGACGTATTCTTCCTCGTCGACCAGGTTGAGTCTGATGTCCATCACGTATGAAGAGTGGGGGGAGGGGGGTGTCTTGCAACCAGACTGACCACCCGTTTGATTCTCTCTTCCTAATTTATTTGGAGAAAGACTTTTTGGACACGTTTGGATGGCCGGCATAGTTGTCGTTCGTGGAAGTTAGGCCGTCAACAAACGATAAAAAATTGACAGTTGTAGGTTGTAGGCTTTATACACGCGACGCATATCACGAGGATGAGAACCTTTCGACTTTAAACTAGCTGTTCCGGCCACTTTCTTGTCTCCTATAAAGTTCAACAAACCCCAGAAATACTGCCAATATGTAGGTATATATACATTTTTTGGCCGGCTGCTCCTGTTTCTCTTCGCGTACAGATCCTTCTACATTTGGAATTGTATTATAAGACCTTGGAAAACAATCCGTACGGAGATTTGCCTGGATGCGACTGATCACGTTATTTAGAGAGCCACATTTCGTTTCAATCAAGACCAGAGCAAAGCGATACAAGCATATCGTGATGGCCAAGACCTGTTCCTCAGGTAATGTATGTACAGCGTGCAGATGTACACCCCGCATATGCTAGGCTCCGAATGCGTCTTCAGCATATGCATTCAACCTATTCCCTTGCGATTCCATCCAGTATCAAGAGAAGGATTTAGGAAATATGCCAGAGGATGGGGCTTGACGGTCTAGGCGTTCGTGGATAATCGCTGAGCGTGTAACGTCAAGCAGGCGAATTTTTATTGCCAGCTCATCCGGTGCTCTAGACCGTCTAACATCCTCTCGGCTCTGTATGCGCCACATAATATATATATATGTGTGTATATGTATATGTATATGGTAAGAAGACGCGTAGATTGTGATATCAGTTAGATATCACTACGTCTGATAGATAGTTTGAATAACTTTATTTAAATGACTAACGCTTTTAGCTGCCCGGCAAACTTTTCCTAGTATAATATTGCCGACGCTTTGTATCTCCCGGAACTGTGTTCTGCCTTACCCTTTATCGTGCCTGACTACCGGTAGTCATTATATAGACCAATATTATATTTACAGGATCTGTCTCAGTCTCCCTCATTCCAGCAATATTACTTGGATTTTTCATCTTCGCTATCACCAGATTCTACTTGGTATTCAATACGATTGTATCAGCTGTTTTCGTTGCCATAGATAGATCTGATGTGTAAGGCAGGAACAAGCTTTGAGATTAACCATTTCACAACACTTGATTATTAGAAGGAAGAAATTAGAGACTAGTCTGTGATACTTCGAGAGCAAATACTGCTCTGCCACCCTGTTGAAAGACTACGCAGGAATAGTATTAACCAAAACAAAACATATTGAAACGAATCGAAGCGAGCTCGCTTCAAGCCCCTATTCGGCCAAAACACATTCACAGCTTGGAAATCTTGAGCATCAAAGTAAAACAACTGAACGATCTTGAATCGCTGATTCATACACAACATGAGCAGCCTTTCAATTGTAAATTTATATCGCATTGATGATTTGGTCCTTTTTAAATGTCTCATCCTTCAGCTGCCAGCTCCTTTAGCATTCAAATTCCCGAGAACTACCGGGAAAATAGATATATCACCATATATTTCCGACAATAAAATAATCATGGCCATGGAGCCTAATGCTAATCTGAACTGGAGATCTGAGGAGTTGGCAAATAACTTCTCCTGGCTGACTGTCCTCGGGACCTTGACCGAGCCACCACTTGACGCGCTAGCGACACGACAATTGAGTAAAAGCGTATCAAGGATTTATTCGACAAAGCCCCTACAATCATGGGGATGCTAGTGTGGCTAGAATATTTCTGTTTTCAGGAGGCAATGTAATTCCACCGGCATCACCGGGCCTGCAGTCATATATCTTCGAAACCTCATAAATATGGATAACGATACAAGGAAAGGATAAAAATAAATACAAGATGTACGCTAATCACTGGTTGCACAAGTGATAGTTCCTCGCTGCAAGTTTGTAAATGTATGTATCGTCTAAAGACCGAGTGCTGACCAAGTTGCATGGAATAAAGTACTAGGTACCTAGATTTTGAAGAATCGCGAGGACGCAATACTGCCCAAGGCGGTGAAGCTAAAGTGGTTCTGGTGCCGCGTCTTGAACGCGATTTTGTCCATCGCTTCTCAACCCTACTGCAACTTCATCTGCGCCTCCAACTCCAGCTCCACGGCTTCCTCTTCATCGAATTCACCCTCTCGACAACATCAAAAGTGAGGATATGCTTGCGGCAGATGGAGTAGAGTCACGAAAGTAGGTCTCGATGCAGGTTACACCAAGGGGATCCAGCCATAGCGCTCGCAGCAGCCATGTTCGAGTCGGCGGCGGCTGCTTTGAATACACCACCATCCCTCCAAGCACGACCTCCAACACCACCCCGAGAATCTGTTAATAGCGGACCGAAACCTGGCTCTCTTGGCCTCGAAAAGTTTCACTTCACCAATTCAAATCACAGAAGGGCATCTGCACCAGCCGCTAGTTCTGTCACCACAGACGACTCGCCTCTAGATAATCCTGGATCGTCAATAAAGTCGGGGAAGAAGAGGGTTCTGTGGTCAGAGTTCACGGAATACTCAGACCCCCCCACTGCTTCATTCGACGGAAAGCATATCACCCGGATGGTCCAACCTTTGGCCCCTTCCTCCGAACGAAAACCCTCTAAGTCTATCCTCAAGACATATAATGTCCGTGAACAAGAGTACAATGGTGTAGGGCCAAACGCGAAATTGCTACCTCTCCATCATCACGCATCTTTTGCAGCCATGCTGGACTCGATAGTACAACAGTTGGCGGGAAATGATAGGAGCTCGAAAATGGATGCATACCTCATGTTGTCCAGTACACTGAAGGCGTCTGAAAATGTACCGGACTTGAAGGCATTGAAGCTTAAGATGGGAATTCTGTGCCAATTAATTGGGCAGGATCTTTCTCAGAAGCTGGAGAATGGCAAGCCCGACACCTCTCTGGTGGTCAATGCTTTAGTCCTGCTCTCGAGTTTTCTTCAGAAACACGCGGTGTCAGCAATGTTTCCGGCGGAATTTTCCGTACAACTTGTGGATCATTCTATCAAGACCTTTGAGGAAGAGGCACCGTCCAAGGAAATCATCAAGCATCTGATGTTCATCTTGGCCCAGCAGAACTTCTCCTTGAAAGTCATGAACGAGAAAAGAGTCGGGAGGTTGATCACGGCGTTACACAACATCGGAAGCCACCTCAAAGGCAAGAGCATTGCTATGTGGAGGATCAGCATATTTCGGGCATTATTGCGGCAGTGTCGTAATCATATGATGGCCAACTCGTCATGGTATGTGGACATGTTCGACGGCATGCTCAACAGTCTCAAGGAAATCCGCACGCAGGCAATCACATTCGCTTTTGAGGCTGCCATTACTCTTGGTATCGAGAGCAACGCTACCAGGGCCGTTACGCATGTGTTCGCACATCAGCATGACAAGGAATCTTATGCGAAACACTACACCGGTAAATTGGAAGATATGTTGAGGAAGAAAGTTGATTGGGATAGCGCTACAGTACCACAAATATGGAGCATCGTGATGTTGTTCTTCCGTTCAAGCCCTAACGCCTTGGAACAGTGGCAATATTTCAACTCGTTCCTCAACATCATCCAGTTGTGCTTCAACTCTAGCGATATACCGACCCGGACAGAAGCTAATTTTGCCTGGAATCGCTTCATATTCGCCCTCCAACCGAACGAAAAGACTTCTAAAAAGTTCCGCGGTTTGCTTTCTCAGGCTCTCTTCACCCAACTTAAGTCACGCAAACATGGGCGAAAAGCCGCACTAAGCAGTATGAATATTCTGTTATATTACGCACTCAGGCCTCAATCTTCCGCGACTCAGCTAGAAATTTACTGGGATGAATATGTCGCTCCTCTCGTGGATGCGTGTCTGACATTTGCAAAGGAGCGTGAGGGTCCAGAAGTGGCCAAGCAAGAGGCTATGGATGCATGTATTATTCTCCGATGCCTATTTGACACGACAACACAACGAAAGTGGTCGGAGACGAGGGCTATCGATAGCCTTCAACAAGCTGTCATGAGCTCGTCAGAACTCCCAGCACTCGATTCGAAGTGGCTACGCAAGAATCATGCTCGAGTTTTTAAGGTCCTGGCGCCGCTGATGGAGAAGCTATATTGGGATCTTGGCCACGATACGCCTATCACACGACTTTGGAAGACCTACATTGCGTCCATTTCTTCGCCAGCAGTGACGGAGATTAGACCTCATCTTGATACCATGTCTTGCATTGCCTCGATATTTGGCATGTTACACAAATTTTGGACAGTCGGTGGAGAAAAGCTCGGAAATTTGCCCCCAGGAAACGCCTTTTCTACGGCCGAGAAGTCAGCAGCGTTCTTGAAAGGATTCGAATGCATCATTTCTTCAACCATTGCTGGTCTTCGTTTATCACCCTTCGAGGGCGAGAGGAAGATCTCGATTGCACACGATTCCTTCTTTGCGGTCGACACCCCAACGCATCAGCAGCCACGGAAAATTCGCAACGAAAGCAGGACCCCGTTGAAGCATCTTGTCTTACTGTGGACCAGTTCTTCGCCTGGGCTGCAGTACAGCCAGCCATTCATGGATATGGTCCACCGCGTAGTGTCAGAATTCATGGGGGCTCGGCCAAAGAAAAACGCCAAGATGGAGCTTATCAAAAGTCTCTTCCACCTTTTGCCCACTGATAATCGCGACTCGTCTCGGGCTATTTGGCAAGTTCTTGCCGGCTTTGCCGCTACCATCATCAGCATGAGAGAAGATCAAGATAGTGGAAGTGACGAGCAACAACTTGGCGTGGCATATAAAGAGCTGGTTGAGATTCTAAGACTCGGCGTCAATTTTTCCCCAAATTCCATTCCTCACAATTGGGAGACTCTTTTCGATGCATTGATTACCTCAGTCACTATCAATGTCGGCGATGCAGGGAGGGCCATCGCTGTTGTTGAGCCCCTCGCCAAGTTTTTTACTACCTCAGTACCAGATGTCGATACGGAATCAAGAGGACTGTTCTATCTCAGTTTCATCCTTGAAAGCGCAACTTACCCCAAAGACCGACGGGCTCTGGACGCAGCCTCAAGGAGATTAACAGGGGGTCCTGCCACCCAAAAGCCCTCGACCTTTGACCCATACATTCATTTGTACGAGTATGTAAGAATCGGTTTGGAGACAGCCTATGACACCCACTCTACTGATCACCTCTCCGAGAACGCGGATATCGTTTCAGCCACGACATATTTGCTAAGGAAATGTCCCGTTTCGTTGATTCTGCCTGTTCTTGCCAAACTACAAGCGGGCATCGCATGCTGGATCATCGATAGCGAGGCGAAGCTGGATAGTGGAGATTTTTTGTCGAAAGAAGTGAGTACCTTGGTTCTCTTTCTCGATCGCTTGCTGACAGATATAGGTTGCAACCATGTGGGCGATGGTAAAGAAGCTGATTTCTCAATTGCTCGATGATTATAGTCATTCGAAGGTTCTGAATGAGCTGGAGATGTTGATTTGCGCGGGGTTAGACAGCAAGCACGAGGGAATTTTCGCAGGAACTATTAAATTCTGGAACGATTATTTTGGCTCCTGCGAAGAACCTTTGCACTACCCAGATTATATTCAAGAAATTCTTCTAAGAGTCCGTCGAGTTGCTGAAATCCAGCTCCCTTCTTTCCCAGACGACCTTGATGAGGACCTTTCTGCAGAGACAAGACAACCGAGAGATTTTCTCGATACCCAGGATTCGTTCTATCCCCCTCCAGAAGAAGAGTCTCCTATGACAAAGAGATTGAGGTCAACGACGCCCCAAGTTCTGATCCAGGTCAGTCGGTCGATGTCGGCAAAACGATCTCGCGAGAGTACCCCTACTTTCAGTAAACGGAAGCCAAGAAAACCGGACGTCACGCCACGACTTCGTCATGATGACTCGCAGGTCCAATTCGAAGCTATTGAGTCTTCGCCAATGGCAGATAGAGTCATGGATTCTCAGCTTTTGACGGATAAGCAGAAAGAGACCAAGGAGCGCCAATACGCTGACCAGGCCATGTTTCCCGACCTCAAGTCCACTCCGGTGCCTAGAGAGAAGTCGACGCCGAGAGGTCCTGAGCTAGAGCTTCCTACTCATCGTTCCTCGTCGCAACTGCGGACTAGAAATGCGGGGATTGATCGAGACACCACACCTAGTCTTGTCCTTCCAAGTGACGACGATGGTTTTGTTGCCTCTTCCCCGACTCCTACACGACCAATTCGGGATGAAAGTAGAATCGTAGACCCTCTATCATCTCTACCCGAGGCCGCATCAAGAAGAGCCAGACCTTACAAGAGCCCCCACAAGAGCCCTTACTTGAAGGCCACTCCATCTCCCAATTTTTCACCAGTGTCCGAGAACGGCCAATCGGTGCTTGTTGGTAAAGCTGTAAAGCCTGTCGCCGATGATGAAATCCCATCATCTCCACCGGACACGACGTCTAAAGGCGATGAGACTATGGATCTAGATCATACAGCGGAAATTAATGAGGCGCGTCTCGGACTTCCAGAGCTTGAGCCATTGGATGAGGGTCAAGAAGTTGTCAACGAGACACCTTCCCTGGGACCTTCTGCTCAAGTAAATCCCTTTCTATTTACCAACACCACGATTTCAAGCGTCCAATTCTCCCTCACGGGACGCCATAACTCACCTGCGGAAGACGCTCCGTCGGGTCAATTGATAGCTCCTCATAGAGAAGAAGAAGAACCGAAGTCGGCAATGGAAATCGACAGCAAAGAATCCCCACCAGTTGGACTGGATGCGGAACTTGCGAACCTAAATGAATCTGCCATGAGGCCTATATATGATTCTCGGCCTCCTGGCACGCCTGCTCAGCACTCTGTCAACCCTATTAGCCCTCCAATCGGCGATTTCATCGATACGAACTCCAGCCCTGCTTCTTCCGACAAGCAGGTCTTTGGAGATGCCGTACCCTCTCCATTCGTGCTGAGGGGTAGGCCCATACCAGTCCAGACACCATCAACTCCAACCGAATTCGGCAATGACTCGAGCTTGGTTCGTATGATGGCCGAATACGATGAACTTGTTGCTACAAGACCCGTTGCCTCAAGACCCGTTGCTTCTCCCACAAACAATTCTACACGACGAAGTCCTCGAGTATCTTTGTCGAAGTCGGAAATTCCACCTACGCCAGAAGTTCGGATTGCATCGGCTCGCAAATCACCATTGAAGCAAACAACCAACGCCCGGAATCTCGTGGACAAAGAAATTACCTATAAATCAGATGCACTCAAGTCTTCTTCGATAGCTTCGCTGATCCCAGATACGCCCGGTGTCAGGGCCAGAATACCAATCATTGGCGATGATGGAGTCGAATACAACGAGGAAGATACTATCGTCGTCGACACCTCCAGCCTTGACAGATACCAGCCTAGAGCCAAGCGTGACAGCAAGAGGGGTAGAAAGCGAAAGCATCCAGACCTCGACGGAGATTCGAATGAAATACCTGACAGCCAGGACTCCGCGGCTGTACCGGATAGTGGGTTCTTTGCATTCACTTTCAGGTTTTTGACTGACGCCTATAGACACTTCACCAAGAAAGTCGTCTCCAAAGAAGAAGAAACGTAGAGGACGACGACCTAAGAGAGCTTCTCAAATTAAACATGATGAGTCACAGTCTCAAGAGGTCGACTCGAGTCAAGATATGTATGATGGATCGGTCGATCTCGATGCACCAGTGTCGGGAACGAACGTCGACGGCACTGCGGTGTCGTTTGCTGACGCTGAGATGGAGGACATCGACGGAGAGGTCGCCCGTACAAGCACGCAGAGCTCCGAACATCCAGTCGAAGGAGAGCATGCTCGAAGTGACAAGCAGACTCTCGGGGAAGTTGAGTCTAAGCTTTCTTCGACTGGTGGCGTCCATGGACCCAAGGAGACGCTTTTCAGGGGCCTCGAATTCTGCCAAACTACTGAAGAGTCTTTAATTGAGGATACCATGGCAGATTTGGAGCCCGAAATTGAACAACAAGTTGCTACCGAAGGTAGCGTTGACAAAGGTTCTTCAGGCTCCTACGGGACAAACGACCCATCTGTCGTCATCATTGAAGAGACGCGCGTCGAAGATTCCAGCTTTTTACGCAAATCTAGCTCGCCCGTCATTGAAGAAAAAGTTATCGGTGATTCGATTTCGTTGGATAGCTCTGGCTCAAACGCCGAGACGGGGGTCAGACCTGAGGAGGAGGTTGTATCGCGCGAGGTTGTCATAGTACAGGCCTCTGCCACAGAGCCGGGAGTCTTTTTAGGGGCCCAAACTAATGTGGAAGCGCTTGTCACAGTTGAAAGCATGGCCCACAAACTTCAGAGTTTGCTCAAGGACTTGCAGACGGCGTCGCTGAGCAGAGAGGACGTGAACAGACTCGAGGATTTATTTATGGATGCGAAGGGGCACTTGTATGATGCTGCACGGAGGGGCCGGCGATCAGCGGATAAGGGTTTGTAAATTTGCATGGCGTGGCGTTGCACAGCGAAGTGCTTGGATTTTTTTTTTAGGCGACCCTTTTGGGCAGGTGAACATTTTATGAGGTATCAGGTGTACAAAGGTGGCATTGATGGAGTAGCATGACGAACTCAGTGTAGAGACAGAAAGAGATACCAATAATAATTGGCGGGTTTGGTTGCCTTGTAGTGAGCTCATTGAGCAAGGTAGCATATGTAGATTTCTGATGTGTTGATATATCTTTGGATATTTGAATAAACTCAAACCATCACAGGAGGTATTACAAAAAAATGAATATGGGCACAAGAGGAGAGTGACATTGGTCGCCCCTATCCATGGAAAGAGTAGTGACCAGGACTCATTAGCTTCACCTTATGTTACAGTAAAGCTCTAAGTTTCAATAGTATCGATATAAGTATATATCACGAAGCTCTTTAAAATAATAGGAACGGGCTTTACGCCTGATTTTCGTTAGGAGCTTAATAGGACTGTTAGTTTGTTATTCCTTGACTTGGCAATACAACAGGTTGAGGAAGGAATCGAGGGTGGACTGGACCCTGGATGAATACTTAACTGGCGTTGTTATTATTGTTGTTGTATTTATTTACGTCGGGCGGGTAGCAAGCGAAGCTTGCCGCCCTAGGACTTCTTATAAGGTACGGCGACGTGTTAAGCTAAAGAGTTATATACAAGAAGGCCTTAGAAAGCAATTCAAAGTGTTATAGCGAAAGCTATTATCGCATGCGCCTTTTCTTTACAAATAGAATAGATTATATAAAAAGAAACTTTTCATCAAAGGAAAATCACAAAAGAGAGAGTCAAGCATGTATAAGCTATTATAGCTAACTAAAAGCGAGCTGTTTACGTCGCGTAGCGATAAGAATTAAGGCCGGACCGAGGTTAGCCGAGTATAAAAGAAAAGGTGAATACGAAAGCTTAAACTTTAAAAGAAAACTTAATATAATACACTAGTGCTAAAGAGAATTCTTTCGAAAGCGTACTACGCTATCTTAAAGTCTTAGTCTCGTGACGCGATTGATCTAACGAGCTTTTATAGCTTAAATAAAACGGAGCGTACTCCGTTCTCTTTACTAAAGCAGTATCAATTAGCTAAAATAACACTTTTATCGAGTGTAGTGCTTAAAATAGAACTCCGTAATAGTTAAGAAAGCTTAAAAATCGGCCGGATTATTAAAAAGACTTTTAAAGAAGTTATAAGCTTCCGAGATCGTGCTCGAAAAGATCCGCGGTCGGGTTTTATAAAGCTAAAAAAAAAAGCGTCGTTACGTAAATCGGCAAAAAGCTATATGCAAAAAGGACTTGCGTTTGCTGCAAGCATACTTTAAGTTAGCGTCGTAATATTAAAACTTAATATAGTATTAAGTAAAGTCTTCGTGCGTAATTCGGATCGCAAATAATTTATATAAAACATATCATAAGAGTTTTAACTCCGAAAAAGGCTTAACTAAGTATAAAAAGCTTTATTTCCGATACGAGCGTAAAAGCTTAAAAGAGCTTGCGCTTTATCAAGCTTCTTATGCTTTATCTCGTATATCGCGGAAAAGTATACGGATACCGTTAATTATAAGTTACGATGCTAAACTAATGTTTTAATTCGGTTTCTTTGCTTTTAAGTTTGCAAGCTTATCTGCTCGTTCGTTTTTTTTAATGCTTATATGCTTTAAAAACTATCGTATTCGTACGTCTCGAGTTTTTATTACCTTTTAAACGTTTAAAAACGCTTATTACGATAATAAAGAAGCATTTCCGCGAAAGCATTAGATAACTAATATACTATCGATATAAAGCTAAATCCGTCTCGCCGTCGAATAAGCGTGCACTATTCGTTCGAAGCTTTTTTATGCTTTTATCGCTTTTGCGTTAAAAACGTAAAAGCAATCGTTAATAAAGCTATATTCGTAGCTTATCTTTTAACGTTTTTAATAAATTACGTACTCGTAGCTTATCAATCGGTTGCTTTAATCGTATTGTTTTAACTCGTTCGAAAAGATCGTGATATCTTTTAACGAAAGCTATTATTATTATGCTTCGAATGCAACAATAGCTTTCTTTTTCGTTTTACTATCCGCCGGGTCTCGTTTGCTTTCCGACGTAAAGTACGGAAAAACGAAGCGAAAGCGAAAGACGTTTAAAAAGAAAGCTTTTAATCTTTAAATCTTAATCTTAAAGATCTTAATAGTCTTTACGCTACGACCGCGTTATCGGATCCGCAAAAGTATCCGGCTGATTAATAAGTGCTTATCGTTCACCGTCTTTAGTTTTATTGTAAACTTAGCTTTAACTTCTTTTAAAGCCGCAGCGCCGAAAAGAAGCTTAGCATTTCGAAAAAGCGTTGCCGTTAGTATCGTTCTTTAGACCGAGAGTACTTTGCGCGCCGCGAAAATTATCGTTTTATTAATAAAATCAATTATCCTTTCGATTCGAGCGCTAACAACTTTTAATCTTTCGGATTTGCAAATTAAGCGATAACGCTTTACGTATTACGCTTTTATATTATAAAGCATTAAAAGCAGCACGCAAGTAGTAATTGCTTTGCGTAATAAAGCCGCAAATAAACCGTAGATTGTTTTAGCGAGACTGCAAATGTATTAAGCGACTTTCTTAACTTTAGCCGCTCGTTTTCAAACGTATCGGCGGAACTTTAGCTTACGGTTAAACTAAACTTTAAGCTATCGTATCGCAAGTGTATCCTTTTCTTTCGGACTCGTAATAATGCACGGAATAATTATAATATCGATTACGAAAAGAAAAGCATACGTACTTTTCTTGCAAGAGAAATGTATTATCTCGATCTTTTTTAAAGCGAAAGCGATTTTATAAGTATTATTTTACTTAATAATAAAATTAATATCGTTTCGAAGTATAGCGATGTTCCGATCGAAAGTACGATTAACGCGATACAAGTAGATATCGTTAGCGTACTCGAAGCGTAATATCCGGTCTTAATTAAGTAATTCGGCTAAGTAAAGCATATAAAGCACCGATAATAACGAAGATCTTTGCGGAATATCGCACTTTACGTCGTAAGTGTTTATGATTTCTTTTTTTAATCGGACCTTGACTTTGCGGTTTAAAAGAAAGGATTCTATTAGCTTAAGCAATAAGTACAGCTAGCTTTACTTCGTTATGCGTTTTAAAAGGCGACGGGTTAAGACCGCATCGAAGGCTTTTTAAACGTTTATAATAACTATAATAACTTAATATTTAATTGCAAGTGCGGATTCGATATCGTATATTAAGCACGAAGCGAAGTCTAATGCAAAGCGCCGTAAAAAAGCTTTCGCGTACTATAAGCTAAAAACGTCGTTAATAAAAGCAGTCTACGCAATTCTTTTTGTAACGATACGCTTTAGTCTTTTAAAAATATACGAAAGCAAAGTAATCGGTCGCTAAAAGCAAATAAAGGTCTTGTCTTTTTTCTTTACTTTAAAGATCATCAAGACCTCGGCGAGCTTTTACGCATCCGGAAAATAATAAAAAGCTAAGCACTTATTAAAAAAGCTATAAAAGAAGTGATAAACGTATTGCTAGCATGCTTTAAGCAATCGTACGATAATCTTGTCCGTTTCGAATAAAGTACTTATTATTTCGATCACGTAAGACTTTACTTTTTTTAATAATACCGTAATATCTTAAAAAAGCCGGCTAATGCTTTCTTAACTAGCGAATGAGTTGTAATCGAGGTCGTCGGCGGCGTTAAACTATTGAAAAATGCTTTTTCGCAGCGCGTTCGCTTTTTCTTTAATATTTTCGATAGCTTCGTCGTTAATTATTAAAAAAAGCGATTTTAAGTTCAAAGTAAACTTATGCTAGTTTATAACTTTATATAAATCTTAGTCCGATTTTACTTCGTCGATCACGTAAGTCTAATAAGCCTTTTTAGCTTTCTTAATTATAGCGAGCTAGTTTCGCGTTTTTTAAGTCGGTTCTTCATCGTATTGTAGAAGCACCTAAAAAGATGTGCTGTACAGAAGCCTGGCTCTGAGGCTAGACCTCATAGTCTTACAAAAAAGGTGTCAGAAAAGGTGAGTAGAAAGCTCGTTGATTGTTCTAGCTAAAAGATGTGTGCCCTCTTATAGAAGATGGGTCCGTCTAGTATGGCCTTAGTAGCCATAACAGGTACCTTTGTTGGATTGCTTCCAAGCGATTGGGAATATATTCGTAACTTCGTAAGGTCGTCAAAGTACTTGCAATTGCAAAACACTCGGTTGATAAGGTATCTGAATTCTGTCTGCTCCCCAAGGCTCAAGGGAGCTGACTCCTTCTATATGATTAGAAGGAGTCACGTGCACTAGCTAACTAATAGGTTTACTTGTCAAGTTAAGGGTCCCTTGACTGCTGACATGCTAAGCGAGGCATGCCAAGTGACCCGTGAACCATAGTTCACGGGTGAGTTCCCCAACTACTACTACTAGCTAGCTAAAGTCGATATAAAAATACCGACACCGGCAACTTTCTCTTTGGCAAGCAGTGCTTTGCCAACTATTATATCGACCGAAAAAGGAAGGAAGGTAATCAAACAAAAGAAAAACAATCTCACTCTACCAAACCTCACTCTCCCTTCTTTTATAGCGGCCTTTCCACCCACCCGTCTACTTGCACCTTCAAGGTATTGGTCAAAACTAGCTCTTGCAAAGAGGTATTAGCCTCGACTTTAGTCATGGCGTCAGCAAGGTTGGATTTTCCTCCGATCTAGCGTACCTTAAAGAGCTCCCGCCTCTCGTATGACTCTCGAATAGCCATGATATCGATTATTAAGCGCTTCTCTTTAGTAGTCCTTAGCTTTACTATGCACTCGTAGAACGAGTAAGAGTCAATGCACACAACCACGGGGAAATTAAGTATTTTTAGCTAAGCTATGATTTAAGCAAAAGTAGTGTAAACACCTTGCCTGATGGGGTACCTGCTATGGCCACTAGGGCCACACTAGACGGACCCATCTTTTATAAAAGGGCACACATCTCCTAGCTAGAACAATCAAC